TTCTTGCTTTTTGATATTCAGCAATAACTAAAATTACTTGTTTGGACTTATGAAGGTGACAACTACTGCATCTCCTCTCTTCCTGGGATTTATTTTTGTCTTTGAAATAGCAGAGTGTTTAAAAACAAAACACAGAGGAGTATTTTAGACATGACTGCCTCCAAAGGCTTCACGATGATAAAGAAGAGCTAAGGTGAGGGTTGTACCACAAAGTCATAAAATATATCAAGAATAGAAATAGAGAAAAAAAAGTAGAAGACAAAATAAGCTTCCCCTGGGAGACCTTGTTACATTTAAATGTCTGGACCATCTAGAGCCAGACACCTCTCATCCCTGTCCCTGTAACTGTTTCAATTGACTGAAGAAGCACCAGTCAAACAGTGCTCTTTCAGAAATACAGAACAGGTCTAGGAGCTCTTCATGTGATTTCACTTCTGTGCCAGGGGGAAAGGAGGTGAGCTAAGGGAGACCTCAGATGCACGGCCATCTGTGCCTCTGCTGTGCAAAGTGAATCATTAGGTTCAGACAAAGGTAAGCAACATTTTTACGCTCAGACATTTCCCTCAAGACTTGTGTTCTGTGATTTGCAGCTCTCTCTGAGCATCTCATCCTCAATAACTACATTTAGTTTCTATTAGAAGTTTGGCTGGTGAGATTTAAATGGGCAGCTGTTACAGGAAAAACAGCTTCAAAGTTATTCAATTACTAACCATTCTGGAATAAATATGTCAGTTGTGTGCATGTGTGAAGGAAAGAGAGAGGAGAATAACACTGGAAGTGAGAAGGTGAATTTGTTTTGTGAATCAACATGATAAGCATAAATTTTGTCTCTGCAGTGTTTCCCTGCTAGCTCCCTATTCCAGGTTAGTGTTTGGCCCCAACTGCACACAATCACTTACTTGTTTTGTCATCAGAGCCTAAATTTAAGTCCTTAGAGATGCAAACATTCTCATCCTACTTTCTTTAATACGTGTTGTATATTTAGAAATCTTTTTATAATTATGCTCCCCATTCCTTACAGTAAGTTTAACTATAGAAAAGGTAGCTGATGTTCTCATGCTAATCAAACCCTCTAGACTCACATGGGTTGTAATTATAATGCTGGATGAAATGCTGAAAATAAATCCCTACTCTGCAGATCCTTTACAGGCTGTAGAGTAAAGAAGAAAAGACTAAGGGGGAAATCAGATGTATCTGGACAAAACTATCTGAAGTTTTGCCTCTTCAGCTGCTCTGTCTCTAAATATCGCACAATGGTGGTTACAAATTTCAAATGAATTCTGCCAATTTCATCTTTACTTAAAAAGCTGAGAAAAATCGATTAGATTTCTTCTCTAATGTATCTTTGTGATACTGCTAACCAGCCATAAAGGCAGTTGAAACATTTCCCAGCTTCTCTGTGCTACATGCCATTATGGCCAAGCGTGTGTAAGGCCCCTCACTGCTCAAGCACATGCGAGGATCTGTGATCCCAAGGCTCTGGCAGGCATTCTGTTGGTGGGAGCCAGCAGTGTCTCCCTCTAAAGACTGCAGTTACCTCCTCCACCCTGCACACATCTCTGCACTCAAGGAACTCTCTGTCAGTCACTTGTCGTGGTGCTGTGGGAGAACTTTCACACCCAGTCCATGGAAATTTCTACACACCAACTTGTTTGGAGGGCCAAAACCTAATTTTACACATGTCAAACTGAGTGACAAAAAAATGATGATAATGAGAATGGTTAAGCCTACATTTACTGTCAAGAGCTGGGGTTTTATGCAGTTATGTGTCTATTACAGTTACATTTTTCAGGCAAAAAGAGTTTTTAATACACCATGTTAATCAGAAGTATGAATTTCTGTCTAGCAGAGTCAACATTTGAAACAAAATTCACCTTTTTTCACAAAACCAGTATTACCTTTTAGCACTGCTTTAGTTTCATTTAAAATATATACTGAGGGGGTAAGCAAAGCCTTAATGATACATAGACCCCAGGTCACTCTTGCAAAGATAGAAAATTTAATCTGTATGAAAATACATAGCTGAGTCTTGAGTTTTAATAGATTCTTACAGTACCTGTCACTTCAAATAACATGAAATTTCTTGTTTTAAACTATGTTTTTGAATTAAGGTAAAACTTACATTGATGGGACTTCATAAGTATGTATGATTTATTAAATATGCCTATTGGTGGTTTGTAGGTATCTCATAAGGCTCTTGAAATAGTTTCCAGGGAAATTTTGTGTAATCTAGACTATTTTATTATTTATGTACTGTACAAGCACCAGAGAGGACATTTCTTGTAGCTGCCAGTGTATTTAATTCTCCTGAAGAGCTTTTCTTTTTGATGCTTGGCTGAGGTTCTCTCTAGAATCATGTACAGCTTCACACTGGCTTAATGAAGCCTGGGATGTTGGATTCCAAGTGAAGATGGAAAATACTTGCTCATTCTGAAGGAATCAGATGCCCACTCTTTGGAAACATTCCCCAGATTTTCATTATCTTGTTTGCTTTCCTTTTCCCTCCTCTACACAGTGCAAGCAAAGCCCACTGTGTTTCTGCTACCAATATGGATAATTACTGAGTGCTGCACTAATGAAAACATGTATTGCTAAATTAAAATAGCCTCTTCTAGAGAAAATTGAACGTGGCATAAATACTAAAAACTGGAATTCATTGTTGTTTATTCTTTGAAAGCTTGGATACAAGTAATTTTTTGTATTTTTCATTTTCTATTTATTTGCTTTTTGTGTCTCTGAATTACTGACTGGATGTACTGTTCTTTAAAAAAATCAAAAAAACCCACTAAAATCCAACAATTTATTTTTCAGAGACATATGTTGGGAGTTTTTCTTCACTTCAAAATATTTTGGAGATCCTCTTAGAATGTCCTGGAATGTGAACTAAAGAATCAATATTTGGGGAGATTAAATAACATAACATAAATTAAAAATAGAAATTTAAGTAAAGAGAAAAATGTAAGTACCCATGCCTTTTTTGTATGTTAAGAAAGTTACTGAGATTATTGTGCATTAAGCAACTGATTTAAATAAATCTATTGTGACATTAAAACAATTTGTACATCATTCTAATGAGATACCTGATGTTGGATAAACATACAAGTCCTGATTTTTCAGGTTTCTACAAAACAAGGCTAACAAAAAGTTAAATGCAATCATTAATTTTGGAAAGAGCTGTCTTAAAAAGACAGTTCTTGAATGATTTGATAGCTTCTGGGATTAGAAATGAAACACTTTTCTATTCCTTTTATAATCCTAGTCTAAACTGTTTATGTGTATTCCGGCCACTTGAGCATTTCTGTACTTCTCCTGATGTTGCCTTTCATGTTTGGAATGGACTTCTGCAACTGGCAGTAGCTTCTTAAATATGTTTATCTGTCACTCTGCAAACCCCTAATTCTGGAGTGATCTCTTTTTCTGAAAATTAGAAGAAAAATTATCTCATTAGGGATGCTTGGTCTGAACAGCAGCTATAGTCACTCCATGAATTTCCCCCTCACAGAGCTGATGTGTTTTCCAGCAGCCAGGCTTTGGAAGCCTGCATTGCTGCTGAGAGTGCTGATAATGTTCTCAGAGTTTGCAGTCAGGTCTCTTCCAGGAGTGAAGATTACCAAATTGTATGTAAATAATTAAATATTCCTATGGAAGACTTATAGGGACTGATGTAACTTATGCTAAAGCTAATGGTGAATTCCCATTCTCTTGACACTGAACAGGATTAGGGTCAATGTATTATCCTTTTTGTTTAAATACTATGTTTTACAAATTCCAGTATTTTATCCAAGCTGTGAATATAGCCCTCACTCAAATGCATTATTTGCAATCCTTTTATCAAAAGATACAGCATGCCTCCACAGTCTTCTGTAGAAAGCTCAATGCTTACACTTCCCATGCTTCAAACAAACCAAATCTAAATAATCTCTTTTTTGACAATACTGTACTCTGGGTAATTCCTATGAGGTACACCATGCCAAGCAAAAAAGATATATAAATTATGACAGGAAATAGCTTGGCTCCAGAACAGTTTGCAATGCAGACATCTGCAAAAGATTTTGGAAATATCTCTCCACAGTTCACAGGTCCAGCTGGGAATTTTTCTTTCAAATTCTTCACCTGACCAAGAAAATTAGAGCACTGCCTTTCACAAGTGGCATCCTTATTCTAGTACCATTAGGGACAAACAAAATATATTTACAGAATAAAAGATGGTGAAAATGAGACAAACAATGCAACTGCAAAACTTCACATACTGTGTGGAAAAATGTTTTCCCTCATAACAGAATAAAATCACTGAAATTTTGAAAGGTTTGGACTTCCTTCACTTTTCACTCTACAAAACACTCTACAAAACAGAACTATAACATCACAACATAAAACATAAGCTCAGCCTTTTCTCTGCAGAATTCAGTGTTGTAATGACTCCTGAGCACAAGCGGAAATAAAACCATTGAGGTACAGTTAATAATTTCCAGGAGTTATTTATGGGTCGGATCAGTATTTCACACACATTCTAAGAAGTAAGGACTTATGCTTGCAGTCCCATGGGCCACAGGGCAATTGCTCATAGCAGAAAAAATGAGAAAGTGCTGTTTCTGTGTCAAGGTAATGGTTAACAAAATGGGAGTTTATAAAAAAATACACCCAAACCTTAGAAAAGCTACTACCAGATTATGGAATGACAGATTTATACTTAAGCAGATGAATACTATTCACTAAGAAAACAGAGCAACATGCAATCCATTTTGAAATAAATATAAAACCCATCAGTGAAAAAGTGATGTGTTCCAATCATAGAATGAACAATATTAGCTGGATAACATACAAAAAATCCAAAATAGGTGGACCTTGGGACAAACTAGCTCTCTCTTTTACCTCTTTCAATTTACTGCTGCAGTGTCAGGAAGGGGAGCCCCTCACTTTCCCTAGGCTTCAGCATAAGGTTTTGCTCCTCAGCAGTTCCCCTTCCACAAACATGTGAAGCATTTAGAACTGTGACTCACCCAAGCCCACCTCGGGGCAGCTATGGCGTGAGAGGGACAGCGAGTCCACGGAGGTGCTGCTCCATGGTGCCAGAGCTGGTGCAGCTCATGAGAACCTCCCCTGATGCCACTGCTCCTACCAGAGAATGCTGTAAAAAGTGAAGAAACTGTGGCACTATGAGAGCTCATAAAAGCAGCTTCCACTGTTTCTCTTGGCTGTCTCCACAAGAGTAAAGGATAAAACCAACAGTGAAAATTTAAATACTAAAGGGATAACAACTTACATCAGTATTCTTTGAGTGTCTCAACTCTTATTATGGTTGCACCCCCCCAATATCAAGGAGGACAAATTTTCTTCGATGGCATTATCTGGAGGAATTTTTTTATCAACTGCTGGAAAAGTGGCAAAAAGTTCCTTTTTCTTGGACTTTGGTGCATGCTAAGCCCAGCACCTCCTTCTGACTTCTGAGCACTAAGCTCCTATTTTCCTGTCCCTCACACCCTTCTCAGAATGGCTTGAGCTGCAAAAAGGCAGCCAGCTGCTTTTGCATGCAGATTTCTGTAAGAAACGCAAGCTCAAAAAAAATTTTGGCTGTAATCTGTTAGAGAAAGTGGCAGGTTGAAGAAAAACACCTGAGAACCGCTTCAGTAGGAGATAACTTTCCATTCAGAAGTAAGCCAAGCAACTTAAAACCCACAGTTCACTTTATTTGATGGCAGCAACATCCTTCACACAGAAAAACGAAAGAAAAAAGCTGTCCTCAGCCGGGTGGTGGTACCTCCTGAGCAAGTTTGTTTGCCTCCTGACTCCACCTGCTGGGAAGACACCCCACTACTACCTGCTATCGGCTCTGACACGTTGTCAGGAGAGCTGAGGTGAATCACCGTGCGCTCGCTCCGGCTCCCCCCTCACTGTGGCTCTCTGGATATTTAAATATTGGGCAGCTTGCAACAGGCATAGCAGGAGAGTCCTCCCCTGCGCTACTTCGTGCACCGCCACTCGACGCTCTTCCGCGAGGTGCGGGACGTTGGTTCGATTGCCCCTGGATGCTCGTGTAGCTGGGGTCTGCTTTGCTGAGGGGACCAGAGGTGCCCAGAGGTGCTTAGAAACAGGTCTTTCTCGGCCTCTTCTTAGAGTTAGTTACTTTAAAACGTTTACATGACTTCTGGAGCAGAAACGGCAATTTAGATGATTCTGCCGTCGGATGAATGCTGCGGCCACCTCTAGTTCATCCTCCCCAGCTTGGTGGACGGTAGGTAGATGGTTCATGCAAGCTGGAAGAGCATCAGAGGAGACGGGGCAGACGGGAGGATGTGGGACAGCTTCCCCGGGGCGGCCAGGGGTCCCAGCAACTCTCGATCCGCTGCAGGGGCAGCGCCCCACCCGCCCAGGTGCCGGATCGCAGGGGTCCCACGCTCCACGCCCCACATTCCCACGCTTTCCTTTCCAAAAGATGCCCGCGATTGAAGCTCAACGCTGGCTCAGATCCTCCAAGAGGAGGAGGAGGAGGAGGAGGCGAGGTCGCCGGCTGGGCCTCTGACATCTCAGGCTCCGAGCTCCGGCGGGGCGGCGCACACTCGCTGCGGACAGAGCCCGGCCCCGCACGGAAGGGACCGGCGGTACCCAGAGCAGCCGGCCGGGCCGCCGCCCCCGCCTCCCCCGCGGGACGAGGGGCCTGGGGGACGCGTCCCTGCCCCGGGCGGGCTCAGCGGGACGCCCCGTTCCTCAGGCGCTGTGCCGGGAGCGCCGCCCGGCCCCGCTCCCGCCGCCCCCGCAGCGCCGGCTCCGGCACGGCCGCCCCGCCGGCAGCGGCAGCGCCGGGAGCCGCGGGAGGGAGGCGGGGGCGGGGGAGGCGCTGCCGCCGCCGCCGCCGGGCGGGCTCCGGCCGCCCCGCACCGACGTCGGCGCGAAGCCCCGCCGCGCCCGGGGTGGAGCGGGGAGCGGGCGCGGCGCGGGAGGCAGGAGGCAGATGCTTCTCGAGGCGCAGCCCCGCCGGAGGGGCTCGACCCTGCCTAGTGCCTGTCCGCCCCCTCCGGGACTCGGGGACCCACCGGGCGGGCGTCGGGGAGCGGGCAGCGCCATGCGCCCCTCCGAGGAGTGAAGGGGCGGCCGGGCTGCTCCGGTGCGGGCGCGGAGCCGCCGCCGCCGAGGTGGCCCGAGGTGACGGGAGGCCGGGAGAGGCGCCGCGCCAGCGTCCGTAGCGCTGCCACCGTAAGTCCCGGCAACTTTGCCGCCTGCCCTTCAGCACCCGCTGCCCCCGGGAGAGCGGCGCGGGGCAGGCGGGGCGGGAGAGGCGCCGGGGTCCCGCGAACCCGCGGGGCAGGCGGGCAGCGGGGGGAGCGCAGCCTCCGGCTGGCAGTGCACCCAGAGATAGAAGGGGAAGAGGGAGAGGGCTGTAGGAGCTCCGAGCCCTGCCGCGGAGTGTGCGGTGCGCGCCGTGGGAAGGGGCGAGGGAAGGGCTGGAGATCGGGGCGCAGCGCGGGGATGGGGCACGGCGGATCCCGGAGTTCCCGCTGCGGCTCCTGCCCTGGCGAGCGGGTCACTGCCGGTACCGTACCGGGTATAGAGCAGCCGCTCTCCGTGCTGGGAGTACAGCGCGTTTAAATGACACCTGAGTCACTAGTTCGTGCTTCTCAGGCACGTCAGATATTATCTCCGTGTCATTTTTCATCAGCTGGACCGATATCTGTACTTACTTTGGCGTTTCACTCCGCAAATGTAATAAACAACGTTAGTTGGTTTCAGAATATTGCCATTGATGACGGTAGATTGATGTTTGAGGCTATTTACTGAATGTGTCCAAGTACAATATAGTGCCTGCCAATTTTGTCTTTAAATTGCTATATTGATTTCATTCTTGTAGGTTTTTTTGACAAGGTTAATGTAGTTGACAATTTGCAAAGGAAAGAAAAACTTCTTTCCTGAAGGTTTATTTTAGTTACAGAATGGCAGTTGTAGCTGAAATGATGAATGAAAAAAATCATTCATAAAAAGAGTAAATAGAAAGATGTGTATCCTAAGACCTCTTGAAGTCAATATTGTCGATATCTAACGGATGTCTTCCTGCCAATCTTTTACATGCACTGGCAACCCTTGAACTTCTTAAGGGTAATACAGTGTGTGATATTCTTCTCAGGAAGAACTAAGCACTTCAGAGTTAAGTAGTCTGATTAGAGGGAGTTTAGGATGAATTAAGCAAGACATCACAATATAATGCCTTTGCTTTTTTATAGGCACTAAATTAAGGTCTTGCTTCTGGTCCTATTCCCCTTCAGTGAGTGAAGGGTGATATTGTGGGGGGAACCCTTGTGTTTGGTCAGTGAAAGGGTCCCTGTGTTGCTCTAGGGCTGAGTGTATCAGGGCTGACCAGGATGACATTTCTTTGCTGCCAACAGCTCAAACTGCAGGTGGTGTTGAGTTGAAGAGGAAATTTAATACACCTCTCAGAATCCTAGGCATAATTGTCAAGTAGGAAAATTAAATACAGGAGAGCTAATACTTCATTGTAATTCCTTCAGACATATGATAACCTTTGCTGGTAGGCAACTTTTGCTAAGCTACCACTCTGATGCTTACTATAGTTGTCATATGCTAGCTGACATGAAGTAGTTCTGAATGAACTAAAATACTGTCTTTCTGTATCTACTGGCATGTATTAGAGTATGCAAATTTCATAAATCTTGGGTAGATGTTGGTCCTGTTAAGATAAATGGCAAAATCCCAATTAACCCCTCCAAAGGGTGGGTTTCACCATAGGTCTTCATTATCATTTATAGTGAGTGCCATCCAAATTTACTTAGAAATTCAAGTGGCAATGTTTAAATCTGGCTGGTGATGGCACTTCAAACAACTCTACATAGTACTGCTTTAGAAGCATGCAGAAGAGCCACACAGGTGTTAATAGTTGTTTAAAACAGCTATATAGAATAAACTGCATTGTGCTTTCAAGAGGAGTAGGCAGTTCAGATTTGTCTTACACTCCAGTTTTCATGTTTCATTAGACTCAATCACTTTTTCATAAAAAAGTCGGATTGCAGTTTGCATGTGCACCTTATTTTAACCAAGGTATTCAAGCAACACAGGGGGAACTATTTTCTGATGATTTTGTTTGTGGCAAAGAAGTTTAGAAGTAAACTGCTAAATATTTGAACTATTATAAAAATGTCAGCAAGCAACTGAGCCATGTTACTGTTTAGTTCTCTGCAGTTCATAAGCTTTGTTGAGAGATGAACTGGAGCATCTTTTCTAAAAATCTTACTGTAATAGTAATGAATAATATGTTTACAAGGATACCTTCATAAACTGACAGAATATAGTTTGGCAAACTTTTTCTTTGCATGTCTACAGCTGAGTGATTTTGAAAAGCATCTGAAAAAGTTGAGAATTTCCATTAATGATTAAAACAATGTTCTACAGAGGGTTTGATTTTTTTTATTTTTTTTTTTTTTAATTCTAGCTGTCTTCTGCATCAAGATAAAATGGGAGAGTGTGTAAAACCCAGCCGGTTAATTTTAAGTCTGTATCTGTAGACCTATATGAAGCTACATGTTATATGAAGACCTGTTACATAATAATAGTGGTGTGACCAACATAGCTGTCAGTAAATCCTACTAGTTTTTTATAAGTGAAAATGGAGGAAGAGAGAGAATATCATGATTCAAAGTTCCTGAAAAATCATTAGATAGGAAAAAAGACTTTTCTATGCTTATTTTTTTTCCAATGCATGCAAATAGAACTTTTGGGAAAATAAGCAACTAAATAATTGAGCTATAGTTGACTGAAAGTTATGCTAGCAAATACAATGAAATTCAGTTTTAAAAGTGATAGTTGGTTCATGTATTAGTAAGTTGGTAAACTTGGTTTTGTTTTATTTCTGGTAATAAATGTTTGGTTCCTAACTGTTTTCATTTGTCAGTATTGAAACTCATATTAATGTGGGCACAGATCTCACCTGGGCCTTTCAGGAGCAATCCTGTTATGTGCTGAGCACTTCCAACCACTGTTTGTGTTAGGGTGGCATCCAGTCAGCTCCCTTCCTACACACACAGAGTTAAATTCACTCTCTTGAAAAATTTGCAGTGTAAATAGTCAAGAGGGTCTAAGACATCTTGCCAAAGGCCAGATGACGATCTGGGTTTCAAACATGAATAGTCTGTACTTAACAATGGGAGATTGTGCACCTTTTAAGAAGATTAAATGT